CCTCCACAACTAGACTGAAGAACAAAAGGATAGCAATTTGTCTGTTCACCTTCCCCCAATTTCCCAATAAAAATCTTTAAAACAAAACACAAACAAACAAAAAAACTGTACTCAAAATAGTATCATAAGAAATAATTTTAAATAAATTATTGTATGGCTTTTAAAAAATTAAAAATATGTTCTTTACAGATTAGCATTATACCAACTTTAGATAAGGCAAAGTATCTGTTGCTTACAAACATATAGTTTTTTTTCTAAACAGGATTCAGAATAAAGCCGGTGTGAGTCAAACAACACTATTGTACAATTCTTGTTCATCTCTGAAGATATTGAGAATCTGAAATACAGAGAATAAGATATAATTAATCTGGTAATATGTGACCTAATAATTTGGTGAAGAAATAATTTACTTAGACTAATACTTATATATCTATATCTGAGAAGTCCTTGTATAATTTTTATATGGAAATACCTAAATAATTTTCTTCATAAAATAATTCACATATTGCTTTTATTTCTAAGATTAATTACTTCAAAGCATAAAATATGAGTTCTCATGAAACTTACAGTTTGGAAGAGAATGTTGAGCCATTTGGCCACACAAACAAACTATTATTGGTTCTGTGGGAGAGTTCAATCCATGAATGAGTTCTGAAGGTCTCCAAAAAATTCTATGAGAAAACAAATTTCATGACACAGCAAATAAAAGCTTTTACACTAATATGAATTTTTAATGTAATATAAAGTCAATTCTTTCTAGTCTATACAGTCTCTCAATTTACATTATATACTGACATACTGGACACATTAGGAAAATGTGTTAGTATGACTATGTGTAGAGGAAAATTGACACAAATAATTTCAAGGCTGCAACAATTGATCAAAGACTAGTAATAACTTGTAACATATTTATTATTGGAAAAGCTCCTAGAAATCCCAATAAGAATGGAGCAAATCTGTAGTATTTTTGCCTAGGACTAGTCCTGTGTTGCCCCCACCCCCGCCTCAGTTCAGTGAGTAAAAAAGAAGTGTAGTTTTTACAATTTGGAGAAGGCTGCAAAAATCAGTGGTGCTGTTGCCACAGGGGCAGACTTAATTAGCAGTCGGGGAGAGGCTGCTAAATTGTCCACTATTTTTTAAGCTCAAAGTGCTGAATTTACAAGGCTAAAAAGAGGAAAACCCACACTTTTTCTAGTCTGAGCTTGTAGTCTCCTGTGTGTTCACACAGTGCCAGCCACAAATATAATGGAGAGAAAGCAAAAGGGAGAGCACAGCAGATGAGATGAAATTAGCTCTGTCTCCATTCTTGGCTAATGAAACCAATGCATACTTGTGCAGAGGAGATAAAGATGGTCCCAGTAAAAATAAAAGCCGAAGGGGACTTGGTAATGGGGAATTTTATTTTAATTGTTTTTACCACAATATAAAATGTAAAATGGAAAGCAAACAAATAAAAAAAAGTGATAACCCTGTAATAAGAAAAAGAAACCTTACCCATTACATATAGGAAAATAATAATGTGATTAATAGATGAGTCCTTAAAAGAAATAATGACGAGCAGTAAGCAGGGAGCGACATATTCAAAGAGCTGAAAGTACTGGGGGAAAAAACACAACAAAACCTGTCAAACAACAATTCTAAATTCATCACAACAGTCATTCAAAAAAAGGAGTTGCAATAAGGACCTTACACATACACAAAAACAGAGAATTCCTTGTTAGCTGACTTGCCCTCCAAAAACATTCTTCAAGCTAAAAGTAAATGACACTGGAGGTAACTCACATCCACGGGGAGGAAGGCGGAGCAGTAGAAACGGTAACCATGGGTAAAGTTAATCGTCTGTTCTTGTGATTTCTTTTTTTTTTAAATGATTACTTAAGGCATTAATTATAACACTGTTTGGTTGGTTTTATATTATATACGGATGCAACTTTGTGTTGGTAAATGGGCACCTTGTTCGGGGGTGGGGAAGAAATCCTGATTTGTTGACATTCGCTTATTTCTGTGGTGCAAAAATCCCTAGAATAATTCATTTCAAGTAATCCTATATAAGTCATGAATGTCAGGTCACAAAGGATTCACAAACCAGTGCTGCCTGGCTCAGTACAACACTGTTAGAAGGAATAGTAAGAACCCAACAGAGGGAGGAGAGGAAATAAAGCTATGTTGGTGCTTAGTTTCTATATTTTACTGAAATTTATTGAATGAACTTGAAGTAGACAGTGATGAGTTAAGGATATGTTTGTAATATCTACAGCAACTACTAAGAAAATTTAAAAAAATTACCAAACCATCCACAGAGGAATGAAAATGGAATGCTAAAATAATATTATCTTAAATGATTTCGTTTAAGACAAAATATGTCAGGAAACATGGAAGAAAAAAACCTAAAGACATGCACGTAGAACAAAGAGCAAAACAGCAGACCTGAATCCAACTATACCAATAATTATATTAAATGTGAATAAAATAAACATTTTAGTCTAAAGATAGAAGTTTTCATACTGAGTAAAAATGTAAGACCTATCTATATGCTCTGTATCATAGATGCACTTTATATTCAAAGGCACAAAAAATGAAAGTAAAAGGATGAAAAATGACATACCCTATAAAGTGTGACCATAAGGGAGCTGAAACGTTCATTCTAATATCTGACAAAAAGCTATTAAAACAAGAAATATTATTAGAAATAAAAGGAACAGTTCAAAAGCTTAATGATGGCATTACAAGAAGATAAAACAATTTTAAACATACGACCACCTAACAAAAGAACTCACAAACACATGAAGTAGAAACTGACAAAATTAAAAGGAGATATAAACAATTCAATGATTACAGTGAAGATTTAAAAGCTCCCATGTCACCCCAATGAATAGAATAAAAATATTTAAAAAGATATAAGGTGACAAATAAGTATATGAGAAGATTCTCAAAACCATTAGTCTTAAAAAACATTCAATTAAAACTGTTACAGATCAGACTTCTTGTTCTGGAAAGATAGAGGTGGATGTTGTATATTTCTCCCCTAAACACAGCTAAAATCCCTGGACATTACACATAAAAGAAACAAACATAAAACGATTCAAAAGGAGAAGAGAAAGATGACAGAACTGGGAACTCGGGACCTGATGAGTGAGATAGCAGTGAGCTCCCTGGAGTTTCTTTTTACCTCATTTATCCCAGACTGGAGGCTGGAGAGGCCAGCAAACCACAAACACCCATGGGCGCAGACCAAAGTCCCAGTCAAAGGACCGCGAAAAGAGCAGGCTGGCAAGATAGAACACTTTTAGATGCTAACTGCTTTATTCCTACCAAAAACCATAGAAAATTTCATTGAAAATACCAACAAGGAATATCGGAAAAATCAAGACATTCTCAGATAACGAAAAACTAAAAAAAAATGTGTCACCACCAGGCCTGCTCTAATAGAACAGCTAAAGGGAAACATCTAAGCAGAAAGTAAATGATAAAAGAGGGACTCTTGGATCATCAGGAAGGAAAAGAAAACAAAGAGTAAAAATCTTATTAGATATATAGACTTTCCTTCTCCTGTTTTCTAAATTGTTTCATAGTTGAGGCAAAATTATAAATTGAGGGAAATTATAACATTCTGTCATGTGATTCTCAATGTATATTCATAAAATATTTATGAGAATTATAAATGAACACAGTAAAGGCACAAAAGGGAGATAAGGCTTATCCATGTTACTCAAACTGCTGTAGGCTGTGTAGACTGTGTCTTATATACAGTGGTCACCCCTTATCCATGGTTTCAGTTACCTGCTGTTTCAGATGCCTACGGTCAACCAGGGTCCAAATGTATTAAACAAAAAATTACAAAATGAAAAAACTCAAGTTTCAGCTGTGTGTCGTCTAAGTAACATGATGAAACTCCCTGTCCCACTGCGTCCTGCCCAGGACATGAAGCATCCCTTTGTCCAGCATCTCTACGCTGCACATGCCCCCGTCCCTAATGTTAGTCGCTTGCAGCTCTCTTGGTTATCAGAGCCACTGTCACAGGATCAGGGCTTGTGTTCAAGTCACCTCTATTTTACTTAATAATGGTCCTAAAGCACAAGACTAGTGATACTAGCAATCAAATACGCCAAAAAGAGGCTGTAAAGTGCTTCCTGTAATTGAAATGGTGAAAGTTCTTGATTTAATAAAGAAAGCCAAAAAATATTTTTGCAGAAATAGCTAAAACCTACAGTAAGATATAATGCTCCATCCGTGAAATTGTGAAGGAAAAAGAAATTTGGGCTACTTTTGCTGTCGTTTGTCAAACTGGGTGGGTATAGTTAAACATATTTGAGAGAGAAATGAGACAGATCACATTTACATAACTTTTATTACAATATATTTTTATAATTGTTCTATTTTATTATTAGTTATTGTTCTTAATCTCTAATTGTGCCTAACTCATAAATTAAGCTTTATCATAGGTGTATATGTATAAGAAAAAACATTGTGTATATAAGGTTCAGTACTATCAGTGTTTTCAAGAATCCACTGGGGTTCTCGAACATATCCCCACAGATAAGGGGACAACTACTGTATGTGTGTATATGCATATACATATAATATTATATATATTATAGTCTATATAAAGATATATAATACATACTATGTATATAAGCAGATTAGCACACATATGTATATATAGAATTATATATGCATATATAGTTATTTATGAAAAGATAATCTTTGCTGCAAGTTATGATCCTTCAATTAGGTGATGATAAAAAAGGAAGACAATAAACCTAGAGAGTAATGTAGGAGATTATCTTCATGAGCCTTGACTGATTCCAGAGTAGGTCCAAAATGTTCATAACACCCAAAATGATAAAGTAGACTGTGCTAACATTAATAAATTCTGGTCATTCAAAGAATCCAGTATGAGAATAAACACATAGGTCACAGGGTCAAAAAAGTTACCTGCATCCTATAAATTAAAAAATGAGCTCATAACCAAAATATATAATAACGAGAATTGTGAGGAAGGAAAATGACAGACAACATGCAGGAGAAATGGGCCAGAGACATGGCAGGTACTTGTCATTCTCACAGAAGAGAATGTCATGATTAGTAGCCCAAAGGATGTGTTCAATCTAAGAGTAATCAGGAAAATACCTAGTAATGTCATCATGATACTTTCCTATAATGATAAAAATTATAACATTAAAATTCCCAAGAGTGCTAACTTTTAAATCAAAGGACTATTTGGTAAAAATGTGTATTTACTCAATAAACAAAAAAATACTGGAATAATTTAATAAATTTGACATATACATTCATGACCCTACAATTTTATTCTGAGACATAGAAGACTGCATTATAGCTATACACACATAATTATTATAACATAATTTTATATTTAAACTATTATAAATATTGTACTTATATAAATACAATATATTCTACATAACATATGTAATATATAAATTTTAAGTATATTATAATATTTGGAAAAAATATGTACACAAGGATTTTCATAAAATATTATTCATGATACCCACATTAAAACAACTATATTCTGAATAGTATAGATTAAAAATTTCATGTACATATATTAAGGCAGCAAAAATTAACTGAAGATAAATGCAATAGTATGGATGATTTGCAAAATATCATATGGGAATGAAAGGAGGCACGTAAAATGCATACTGAATGATCCCAATTTTATAAGCTCAAATTTAAGCACAGATAATTTGCAATATTAAAAATCAGTATAGTGGTTAAGTGAAGGGGGAGGAAAAGATGTGAGAGAATACACAGGAGTGGGCTACTGTGGACTGGAAACTTCTATTTCATGATCTGATTTGTAATTACACGAGTCCTTTTAATTTATAATCAATCTGTACAACCATGATATGTTTAGTTCCCTTGATATAATTTAAAATTACATGGCAAAATAAATTGCAAAATTTATGTTAGACAAAAAGCATTTATACACCATGGTTGTCCATGGAAACTAGGAATTGGAAGTTATTAAACGTGCATAATGGCTTGAATTATAAATAAGATATTAAAGAGTTAAACAATAGAATATTAATAGACTTTAAAATAAACTACAAATGAATAAAAAAATATGGGTGAATACTACAATATAATGTAGACCAAATAATCTTTTAATGAAATATAGAAAATATTTAAAATCTTACCATTTCTTCTTCACTATCTATATAAAGCAGGTTAGATTTGTTAGAAGCACAGGCCATCTTACTCTCATTCCATGCTTTTCTTTCAGTGCCAATGTAATAACAATTGTTGGAATATGTCAACCACTCCTTTGGACAATGACCACGATGATATGCTGAAGAAATTATTATTCAAAACCAATTTGAATTAAAAATATAAAAATAAATTTGCATATTTGCATAAGTATAAACATATATGTACATAACATTGCTATGCACGCTCACTGTCTGGTACAAATGAAACCAAACACAATCACACCCACTCAACAGACATAGGTCAGCCTCTCACTCCCTAATTTATGTGCCCAAATAAAGCAAACACACAAACAAAAAAGTCCATTCTCTACATGCCCTGAATGTCAATGAACAAAACTAATTTTTTGAATACCAAAATTATTTACCTTTGAGCCAATCTAAAACCTTGGGTATAGTGATTTTAAACAAGTATTTCTCCATATTTTTACATAAGAAAGAATCTTCTCTTATAATTATTTCTGAACATTCATTGCCCAATGTTATATTTTAAGTTCTCAAACAAATATTATTTTCTTGCCTACCCTGCGTTAGAGACAAAGTATAAATGATACTGATACCAGAACTTTGAAAATCATTCTGTACCTTCCTGGATCCCTGTTGTCAAGGGGAAATTGTTCTGCTCTGGTATTACAGTAGCTAGAAAAATAATCAAAGTAATTCTTGTTAAAAATTAATATTGATCTAAATAAATCATAATAATTTCAGTTTCTTAGTTTGAAATTCAGTGTATTGTTTAAAATTTTAAAAATCTGAAATAAATTGATTTTACCAAGAAAAATTATTAAAGTAATGAAGCTTTGGGGGAGAAATATTTCAAATGCTATAGGATCAATCGTCACCATTTTTTATAGTATTGGTTTAACTAACCTCAAGAATTAATTTGTATTTCTCAATAAGGTCCAAAAGATTTAAATGAGATATAATTTTCAGAAAAATCAGAATAAAAGGTCCATGACTAAATACAAAAAAGCGTATCTTTGAGTTATGAAATCTGAGTATAAATATATGTAATATTTTATAAAATCATTCTGTTATTTATACTTTTGAAATTCAAAATAACTATCCACATTTATTCTAAGTGCATACATTAAAATGAGAGTTTTATTTCATAATATTATAAAATGTTTAGAGGCACTGATGATCAGTAAAGTGAAAAGTTCCCTTATAATCTTTCAGAAAAGTACTTACCGGGAAGAAACTGTATTGTTCTAACTACAGTGTACAAGGTGAGACAGATGGCTCCCAGGATCCCAGCAATGAGCTTCTCTGGAGGTGATTTTGAACCTGCAGGAAGAAATAAAAGCACTGAGAAAGGAGCGATGGAGACAATTGTTTAGACAATTTACACATATGGAATCATATACCTACCGGGGGTGCCAAAAAATATATACACATTTTAGGGAAAAAAACTATTAAAATTCTAATATTCCATATATACCAATAACAAAAGATGAATACGAGTCACATTTGGCTTCTGCAATTACATTGGGTGCTCAAAGTGGTCACCATCAGCGTATAGACAATTCTGATTACGGCAAATTACTGCTTGAGCAACGTTGACCAAAGTGTCCAATTGCAAACATTTTTGTGGCACCCTTGGTATATTAACTTGAACCCAAACTCATATCTACCATTGTAATCTTTCTTTCAGAATATGCCATTGTGTTTTCAAGAAATATAATGGTCCATGAATTGTTGGTCAAAGACTGCACCTTACCATGACGCCTGCGTAAATTAGTCCTCAGATTTCATGTTAGAATACTGTAATCCAACTTCAACCTCTGATCCTTATTAATTAAAAATATGTGAGCTTATTGCCTGCTGTTGCTCCATTTCTCTGCACCCAGCTGCACATCCTAGAACACTTATACCCTGAGTCTATTTAATGCTTTACCTTTGCAGTTGTCATTCTTGTCATTCCCTTGATGATCCTGAGAAGCATTATGAAGGTTTAATTCCACATTGGGTATTTGCTGTTCAAATAGTAAAACGGAGCTTTCCATGCCCTTGCCTTTTGGTTGCTGTCTCTTTGAGTCATTAGCCAGATTCCGTTCTGAGTAGTTCTCTACTTGGATATCCATCTCTTTAGCTGAGTAATGTCAGGTATGGTGCCTGTGATAACTTTACTTAAGTGTTAATAAATCGTGTGAATAATGGCGAGACTCCTAGGCTAGTCAATGTGGGTGGAGCGTGAGATAAGTCACAGTGCGCATTTTGCAGTTGACCAATGGGAGGTCATATTCTAATTTACTTAGAGCGTTAAATAAGTGCTTCATGACAGAAGACTAATTCTTAAAATGATATTCTATGTTTGACATGATATTATTGGTTAAAGGAATGAAAAGTAATAAATTAAGAATAAAGAAATTCATGAATAATAATATATCTTTATTAATCTAAAGTCAGATTCCACTGAAACATTTTAACACCATAAAAATAACTGTATGCAAATTAAATTGTATAAAAAAGAAAATGATGCACCAATATTTATGACAATTTTTAAATCCACTAATAGTTACAAATTGAGTGTTCTAAAGTTGGGGGAATAGTAGCACTAGCATAAATAGTAATTTCCTGCACTAAATTCCTTTTATTTAGTCACATTTATGTATTAAAAGGGCAGATGAGGTTTAATCTATGATATTGTATTTTCAATAATTGTGGAATACTGAGACATCATTAAAATGTTAAAGAAAGATTTTATATATTGAAAAATGTTACATGATGTTAAAGTTATCTGAAATTTAATAAATAATGAAGACAATACAACATAAAAAGATTTTAAAAAAATACTTATTTTCACAAGTAATTTGTAATTTATTTAATAGCTAAGATTTGAAACCATAAGTGATAAATAAATGTGTACATCATTTATGGAGGAACAGTTTGGGTACAAACTTCCTGAAAGATTTTATGGTTGTCAGAATCAGTGAGGGCAGCTTTAGTTGTTTAAGCAAGTGTAATATTTCAGAAAACATAATATAATAATTCAGTCAATGGGTTCTTCCTTCAGAGAGGCCTAGAATAAATTCTAGCTTTGAAACTTACAACGTATGACCTTTAAAAGTTACCTAGTATCTAGCAACCAAGTTGACTAATCTAAAGTGGGAACAAAAAATATGTAAGATATAATGCATGTAAAACAAAATAATCACCTTTATAAACTCTCAGTAATATTACATATTTTAATTATTACCTAATACATTTTCCATATTACTATTCCTGATTCATATCAGTTAGACAATGTAACATAATTCATTAGACAGGAGCCTCATCGCTTTTGATTGTTTAAAATTAAGTTTAAATGAGGATTTTATGATGATACGTCATCCTGATTTTTATTCCAAGTCAAACTGCTTTTATTTAATCAGAGTACATCTATAAGGAATTATGTTTGACCTTCACGATATGATGAATTCATTTTAAGAATGTATTTTTAAAGGCTGGCTAAGTATAAAATAACATACAGATATAACTATGTCTATGAATTACAAAATCCAAAGTTAACTGTTTCTTGTCATGATGCTTATTAGATTTCACTTTAAGTTATATTGATTTATAAACCAAATTATTTATGTGTGTATGCTCGTTAGTAATTTTCTACAAGCTAACACTTGAATATCTGAAGGTATCATCCAACATATTTCGTACTTTATTCTTGTTTTTAGCCTGAATTGTATAAATTGGGATACTAATGTTTTCTTTGAATTAATTGCATATTAATTATATCTCAGTTGCATCACATCTAGCATTTGGAATCGCCCACTACATGAGATGAGCTAACCGAGAGACAGGAGAGTAGAGACACATACCTTGTTTAGACCAGAAAGTCGTGCAGCCTTTAGTGGCAGAACAGGTTACCCCTGTAAACAAAATATCCGTGGTCTTCACAGGCTGCATGTGAAGACTCAGAGTGAAGCAAAAGTGCACAAAGTGGGTATTTCACCACTATGTCACTTAAGGTTTGAACAGGAAATTCTTACACTTTGACTATTTTGAAGACAGTTTATCTTATCACACACCTTCACACTATAGGAGTCTCTGAGCTTGTAGTACCGTATTTGCCGGCGTATAAGACGACTGGGTGTATAAGACGACCCCCTAACATTTCCACTCAAAATACAGAGTTTGTTATATACTTGCCGTATAAGACTACCCCCTCTTCCGCACACCTTCCACACACCAAATAAAAGGTAAAACAATATCAGATTTGATTTCAACATTTTAATTTAT